GTAATTTTAGGTATATAGCCAAAATAAATAAAAATGCCCACATAAATATTCTAGCTACAAACAAATGGCCATATTATTTATAATTGATCAAAAATGTTTTTAAGTGTTTACCAATTGAGGAATGGACAAATTGTGATTTAGCCCTACAATGGAGTTTTTGTTATTTATCATAAAAATGGATGGAGTACTGATAACTGCTCTACCATAGGTACACTTTGAAAACATTATACTAGGGGAAAGAAACCAGTCAAATACATAAAAATTAAAATAACTATTGAGAAATCATGTCTCACATGAAATTTTGGAAATCAAGTGTGTGTTTATGTTGGTGTTAAAAATTGAGATCTGGGGCCCTCCCTGGTGGTGCAGCGGGTTAAAGCACTGCACTAAGAGGCTCAAGCCACTTCCGCATGAGTTCGATCCCCGCCTGCCCCGGAGGTGACCACATGGCGTGGCAGACCTCTCCTGACCCGCCCACTGCTCCCCTCAGCAGTGTACCTCGGCGAACCGCCTGTTCTGCTCCCCACTGTGTCCTGGTGAATTCTCTCACCCTCCACATCTCTGGCCTGTATCCTAGTTCTGTATGAATAAAATAAATAAATCTAAAAATAAAAAAAAATAAAAAAATTAAAAAAAAAATTGAGATCTGGGGCTCTCTCTGGTGACCCAACACCGCATAATGAAGCTCTCGGAAGCCACTACAGCACGAGTTCGGTCCCTTGCCAGGGAGCTGACCCACATGGCATGGCAGACCACTCCTGACCCACCCGCTGCTCCCCTTATTAGTGTTATTTCAGTAGATCTGCCTGTTCTGCTCCCCAATCTGTCTCTGGTGAATCTTCTCACCCACCACACCTCTGGCCTATACTCTAGTTCTGTAAGAATAAATAAATCTTAAAAAAAAAAAGTGAGATCTGTATATAAGCTGCAAATAACTACTTCAAAGTAATTTAACTACACTTTGTTTGCTTTTTAAGTTTAGAAAATCTTAAAAAAAAAAAAAGTTTTAATGTGAGTCCAAAGCATAGAAAAGATGTCCTAATTCACATTTTTGCCAAAAGGCATAAAAATTATTAGCAGTTTTACTGAAATTTAATTTTAAAATGAGAAATTTGGTGAGAAGTAATCAATCCTTCTCTTGCCATCCCTCTTGGAGAACCTCAGAATCACTTATGTTTTAGTCCTTTGGATGGCAGGTTAAGTAACAGGAGCAACTCCCCTGGTGAAAACACAGCTGTTTTGTGCACCAGCTTGCATAAAATTGGTTTCAATGAAAACATTGTTTCACTGCAATAGAAAATGGAGAGATCTTTTCCATATCAAATTCAAGAACTTCCACACACTGGAGAGCATGAACTTCTGCTATGTAGACAAATTATGCCCTAAGCAAAATTTGGGGCTCCAGAGTCTTATTTTGAGTGAAACACTTATCCCGCTAAGTAAATGGAAATGATCCCACAGTTATATTGTCTAAAAACAGCCACAAGCTGGGCCTTGTCTTTGGTGCTGATAAGCTTATCTAAAAAACAAGAGAAGATATGTTTTACCTCCCTCCCCTTCACTTGTTTACCCTTCTAAAATTCTTTCCTACTGAATCTGAATATGGATCAAGATTTGTTCTCAACAGAGATCCCCAAGTATTTATCCCTGATCAATTGAAGTCTGCTTTCCACTCCTGGTAAAAGGTGCTACACATTGGAAACTTTATGCTTGCGTGTTTTACGCAACTACTTAAATGTAAAGTATAGACACTACAAAAAGGAACAGAACAATAATTGTGTAATATAGGAGATGACTCATCTAATTTGCTTCACTGCTTGATGCAATTATTATTGACTCTAATCTGTACAATGAATATCCAGGCAGAGTTTTTATCTTAATAACCTATTTTCTGGTATAATTTGACCTGTGCCATTATGCCTTAGTATATACTTTATGCAAGTCAACCAATTTAGTGATCCCCCAAACCCTATGCACGTTGAAATATCCAGGTTATATTAAGAAATTTGAGACACAGAGCTATGAGAAAACTTTAATATTGAGGCTGGAAAGGTTTTCTTCTTGGTTAAAGTTTATTATGTGGTGCTGTTCCTTCAGTTCCCCTACCCCTTCTTCCCATGATTTAAGGTTTGATCTAAGTTAAGAAACTAGTGTTAAATAAATACTCCTTACCAGATTTGATCCCCTCTTTGAAACAATGAACAAAAATTCTTTTCCAAGAAACAGTAGCTGAAGACAAAACCTGACATTTCTTTTGTCTTGGTTCTTCTAGTTGAAATCCTTTAAAAGTGCCAGCTTTATTTTCTTTGTCTCAAAAGCATTTTAGAGCAATTCATACTTAGAGCAACTATGCAAGCCTTGGAATTCCATCACTGACATTATGCTCTAAAAATTGTCTAGCTTTGTGAATTCAAATGGGTACAAATATGAAATAAACAAGACTGATAAACATTCATAATTTGAAACCATAAGGTAACCCTAAACATTTCTTTCCCTAAACAGATAATTATTTATATAGATCTTGAGGTGGACCTACTAGGGAAAGATAGTTGTGAAAATTGCTAAAACAGAGTACATAACTCTTTAGAAGAGCAAAGTATAATTATTAATCAAAATGGAATTTCAGTTGAATTGGAAATGGACAATTTCAATCAAAATTAAAAATTTCAATTTTCTGTATCAAGCAAAAGTTAGGTGTACTTAACTGGTTATTTCCTAAACATTCTCAATTACAGTATTGATCAGTATATGATGAAACATAGAAAATAATTAGAAGCTTATCCTAAAATTCCTTATTTATTTAGGTATAAAGAGGTTTAGATGTTTTCACAGTAGAGTTTTTTCTATTTTTTAAAAAATTTATTTATGCATACAGATCTTGGATACAGGCCAGAGGTGCAGGGGCAGTGAGAGGATTCACCAGAGACAGAGTGGGAAGTAGAACAGGCAGATCCACGAAATTCACTGCTGAGGGGAGTAGTGGGCAGGCCAGGAGAGGTCTGCCATGTCTTGTGGATCACCTCCAGGGCTGGGATCAAACTCATGCTGAAGTGGCTTTAGCTTCTTAGTGCTGTGTTTTAACCAGTGAGGGCCAGTCGAGTGTTTTCAATGATGATTTTCATTAGTGTTTCTCAGAGAAACAAAGTAACATATGCATATGTACAATAATTCCCTAATCATAACAATTTTCAAATAGTATTCACCAATAACTACTTAGTGTATCGTTAGAGCTTGTGATATCCTTGGTATGTTATCAATAATGAAATCTGAGAAATTGCCATTTGCTATTTTTAATGTTTCAGAGCATTCTAAGCAAAATATTTGAGAAAAGCTCTTAAGTACTGTCTGATTATAATACAGAATTAGGGTTTTGGGGAAAGTCAGCAGTAAAATACTGTTTCATCTGAAAGATTCCTTTAATCGGTTCTTTATTCCAATGGAAAGATTTTGAAAACCATGATTCATAATAACTAAGTTTTTTGTTGTTGTTATTGAAGGTGGTAGCTCTTTCTTTTGTGACTTTATTGGCGGTAAACTGACATGCATTAATGTGCACCAATATACAGTAAACAAATTGACATCAATACATTTGTGAAGATATCATCACAACCAGACTAACGAGCATGTTCATCATACTTTGTGAATATATCAACGTAATGTAAAATTCTGGTGAACATTACATCTCCAGGGGTATCTGGCAATAGTAGGCCACATTTACTGTCTATTGAATGAACACATTTCACCTAATTGTCACTGAGCAGAAAAGAGACATGTCAGAATTTAAACATTTTATTTGTAGCCTTTTTGAGGAGCATCTGAGATGTGCTGAAATTGGTCTTTAAATATATTAACTGACAGGTATGAAAGCCTCAATGTGGCTTTGCTGACTTATTTCCACAAAACCTCACAGCTGTTGCCCCCCAAACACCACCTTTTCTGGAGAGGAGTGTGGGATGCAGGCTGTCTCTTTCAATTTGTGTGTTGAACTGAATCTTATTTTTTTTTAAACTACATAACCATATAGACAATTTAGGAACCAATGAAGGACAAGTCTTGTTTGAAAGGATGGGTCTGGATATGGGAATCATCATTAAAAACCCAGTCACTTCCCCTCTCTTAGTTTGTCTCTATCTCTTCTACCTTATTAGAGAGAGCTGTAAAGAAAAAAAAAAAGCAGCAGCAGCAAACTTCCTTGAATGTCCAACTTTTTGAATAAAACAGAACTGCACAGTTTACAAATTGTCTAACTTTGGCTCAGGCAGGGTTTCTGGAAGGAAACATAGCTGCTTTTGTCCTGCCTAGTGACTTCCTCCTAAGTCCCCTTAGTGCTGGTGTGTTGTGTGTGTGTGTGTCTGGAAATTTTTTTTCTTCCTCTTAGCGGCTCTCCTGATAGTTCTTTCCCGTACTTCACTATTTTCAGTCCTGCTTTAGAAACAACAGTTTAAGGACACAACCTTTCATCCTGGGATTGCAGATTACTACTATGCCCATTCCTTGCCCCAACCCACTCCCCAAACCCCAGTCACCTACACATATCTCCACCCCTTTGTGTGCAGACTCCTCCAGAGTTGTTAGTGGTCACCCTCCCAACTATGGCCTGGGGCTCTCCAGCGACCTTTCTGTACCTCGAAGGTCAGGACACCAGTCGGGGCTTGACTTTATGAGTTGACAGGGCGGCTAGCCCAATCAGTCACGTTTCTGCTGAGGTTGCATCTACCTGCTCTTCCTCCCCAAATGAGGCGAGGGGTGGATTGGGTCCTTCCCCTAATCGGGGGCCTGATTTTAGCAGACCTTGGGCTGACGCGGGAGGAGGAAGACTCGGACGAAGCAGGCCATTTTCACCTGCGTAATAACAGGCTTGGGAGTAGCGGAGCCGCGGCGGCGGCGACTGGAGTAGGAGGAGGAGCGCAGGCGGCGGCCGCGGCGGGGTTGGGGGGAGGAGGAGGGGGAGGAGGAGGAGCTGAAGCCCGGAGAGCGGCAGGCAGCGGCGCGGCCGGAGTTGCAGCAGCGGCGGCGGCGGCGGCGGCGGTGGCGCGGACACCGCAGCCTCCCCAAGCCCCGAGTCCCGGCGGGGACTGCAGCTGGAGCGCCCGCCCACCCGCTCGGCCACCGCACCTCGGCCCAGCTAAGCCGCTGTAGTCGCGCCGGAGGACCGCCAGCCATGGCCGCGGCGCCGGATCCCCAAGACGAGCTGCTGCCGCTGGCCGGCCCGGGGGCCCAGTGGTTCGGGGACCGCGGGGAGAGGGAGGACGAAGCAGTGACGCCGAAAGGGGCAAAGCCCGCGCCGCAGGAGGGGGACTCCGGACGGGGGTTGGGCGCCGGAGCCGGGGAAGCGGCGCCGCGGGAACTGGGCTCTGGCCCCGCCCGGCCGCCGCCCGTCGCCATGGAAACTGCATCCACAGGTAAGGCGGGCTAGCGGGTGATGCTGCCCCGCAAATGGCGTCGGGGACCGGGTCCCCCTAGCCGGTCTCCTCCGCAGCTCGCCTCTGCACCTTCCTTGCGTTCTCTACCTTGAGCCCCAACAACCTCCCCCACCCCCCTTCTCCACCGGAGCTGTGAAATTTTAGCGGACTGGTAAAAATCAGGAATTTTATTTTCTCAAAGGCCCGGAAGAAGATAAAATACTATGGATCCTTTTATCTTATTATCATTATTTCGACTTAAAAATATTGTCGTCAGAGACAAACTTCAGCTTTCTGGCTGCTGACGCGACCGATGTACAAGTTTCTTCCTTCTGCTAAGGGTTTGGGGGCTGTAGGACCCGCTTGGCCAGTTGTGAGGATTTTGGGGGGCGTGTTTGCTCTCAGCTAGCGCGCCAGCGATTGAGGACGCTGACAACAAAGCGACTGGCAGGCTTGCTATACGTAGACCCGGTCCGGTCCGGGACGGGGAAGTGGCTTTAACTCTCTTATCCCGCCCCACCACACTCCCCGAGCTCCGCGGATCGCCACACCCTACATCCTCTCAGCTCCTCCTCCCACTCTTCATCGCCCCTTCTCCCCCTGCATAAAACGAAAATCGCTCCGTGTATCTTATTCAGGAGGGACAGCAATGCCAGAAGGTTAGGAGTTGTAGCAGCCCCCGCCCACAACCTTTCCTTCCCAGCTGCCCGGAAACCCCCATCTTACTGGGGGTATTGAAACTCGCAGTCTTTTAGAGCGGCGGGGCTGGCTGCAGTGTTCCAAGGTTTGAGAGGCGGTGAGTGGATCAGGCAGTTTACCAGCAACGCAGTTTACCAGCCTCGATATTTGGAAATTGCCCTGGTTGGGCCCCATCCTTTGGCTGACTTACCCCGGAGCGGGTGCGGAACCGGGACCAGAGCCTCCCCCATCGTTCTAGCCCGAAGATGCTGGAAGCGGGCTTTGGGAACGACCTGTTCCGCATTGTTTCTATGGAGTGGGGTAAAGGGTGCCCTGCTGTGCTGTGTTGTTTGCCACTAATGCTTTATTGTGGAACGGGAGCTGTGTAGTTTTGGGAATGTAGTTCTCCAAGGTTTGGGGTGGTGGGTGCTCCCGAAGGAGGGAGGAGAGAGGGGTGCGACTGGTTTGAATATGTTTGCCGGCTGATTTAGGGAACCCCTTTAAGTCACCCGCCCCCCCCAAGAACTATGTGGATTGCCTTAGGTAGTCTTAACTATTCTAGCACAAGAGTTGAAAGTTTTTGTGAAATGTTAAAGAAAATGTGTGAACATTCTGAATGAAAGAAAAATAGGGAGCATGTACACAAAAACAGAAAAGTAAAGAAGGGAAAGGAGATAGGGAGGGAGGAAAGACGGAAGACTTAAAAGCAGAAACCCCTTTTGTCATATATTAATTACTATATGGAGGGAAGGGAAAAGATTAAGACCTAAGAATGGCTTCCTAGGCTCTCTTTTAACTTCTTGCTCTAAATGCAGAAAAACTAGAACTTTCTAATTGCCATAAAAAGATGACAAAAACATGGTACCTTTTTGTTGGTTTAACATTGCCATTATTCGTTGCAGATAACTCCAGCACTCTAATCGTCTTAGTAAGTCATTTCTTTATAAACTTTGCCCACCTCCCATTAGTATTACTGAAGCCAGTATGGAGGGGAAACGAAGTGTTCAGTAATACACTACCCACTTAAATGACTGACTTTTAATAAATTTTTGGAACAACTTTTATCACTGAGTATACATTTGCAATTTTTAACATTATTGAAATAGTTTCCTTTATTGAATACATTAGGAGTTTCCTTTATCCTAAAAAACAAACACATTCAACCAACATAATGCTGAATTTGTATGGGGAGAGAATGAAGTGAGGGAAAGGAGATCATATTTCACATATTCATATATAAAAGTTTTTTTTTTACTTTAGTATTATTACTTGAAGGAATTTCTCATGTAATTTTGATTATTTGATATTTTAAGTCTGTATGCCTCTTATTCAGTAGGCTGTGTTGGCTGTTACACGAAATTCAAATGTCATAAGTGTTCTAAATAAATAATTAGAGCTTGAATCCAAACAAATACGGGCCAGTTTCCTTGTCTGTTATTTTGGTGGTTTCATTGCTATAAGCTAAGTCAGTAGGTACATCTTTAGCTTTATCAGAGAAAAAAATCTAGACAAAGCCTGTTAAGCATAGTGTTTTACATGTTAAAAAGAGTGGTGCTCTTTGGGACTCCACTAAAGATTTTTGAGCATTATGCTTTGTAAACAGTTTTTGTTGCTTTTTCAGATGGAAATAGAAAATGTGAGACAGATATTGGTGTTTTTAAAACTTTTTTCCTCCTGAAAAACAGCACCAACGATGCCATCTGGACATAAGTTCTGTTATTTATTTTTATACATTGATAGCAATTAAATTTCCTACAGCATCATTTTCAAAAATATTTTTTTAGTACTGTCTTGGAGTGAATATATGCTTAAACATTATGAAGGCTATACTATGACACTCCACCAGCACTGTGTTTTCATTGTTTCTGTACCTGTTGTATAATGAAAGGTTTTTAACGAAAGTTGCACTTGTAGAGTGAATATCTTTCCTTGCTAAAGTTGATAATGGATATGTGAAATGATGTGTATTGTGGAAGGAGCACTTACTTCATCATGTGTAGGCTACAGCACGGTAGTTTCCTCTAGAAGCAGTGCCGTCAGTGAATGCCTTTATACACAAGATGTTAAGAACCACTTTTATTTTTTTATAGCTATTTCTTTTATTCTAGAAAATGATTCAAAAAGAGCATACAGTAAGGGTAGAAGAACATACACAAGGATGGAAGATTGACCTTTGTTTGAACAATTTAAAATAGAACATTTGAACAGACTGTAAAGGTAGGAAGATAACTCAGGGCAAAATTTGCTTCATTAGTATTGAGTTACAGGAATTTGAGTTAAATTTACAGGTTGTTGCAAAAAAGAAAATTTTGTAATTTGCTTAGAACACAGTACTCATAAATTTACATATTTCTTATACTAACTGTGATACTCTATCAGAAAGACTATTGTGATGACAGTAACTTTCAGAGTGTTTATCCTGTTTGATCTCTTATTTATCCTATTTGATTTAATAAATTGTGTCATGTAGTTTACACACATCTCCTAAACTGCAGGAGGAGCCTGGATTGACTTTTTCATTTGTGCATGTATTTGATAAGTTCATACTTTTCTTTTTCATCTGGAGTCATTCCCCATAATTCCCTTCAGAAGGTATGACTTTTAGTCACCTGTTTTCTTTCACCTTTTTTAAAAACAGATTTATTTATTTATTCATACAGAACTGGGGTACAGGCCAGAGGTGCAGGGGCAGTGGGAGGATTAACCAGAGACAGACCGGGGAGCAGAACAGGCAGATGTACTGAAATACACTGCTGAGGGGAAGCAGGAGGTGAGACAGGAGATGTCTGCTATGCCATGTAGCACAGGTGGGAATCGAATTCGCACTGAAGCAGCTGAGGCTAGCTTGCAGTCCTGTGTCCTAACCGGTTGTACCAATAGGGAGGGCCCGCTTTCTTTCACTTTTAAAGAAAACTAACATTCTATTGAAATGGGAAGAATGCTATGCTTGCTCTTATATTTGCAGAACATGTGAGAAGAATAGAATTACTAATGAAATTTATTTCTCAGGCTAGATCTCTAGATACAATTAATAGTGTTTCTGGCAGCAAGTATGGTACATGTCTATTCATACAGGGAATTCAAAGTAGTTTAAATTAAAATTTAGAAACACAAGTAAATATTAAAATATTTGGCCTAACTGTCTATTCACAAACTCACAGTTTGATTCTGTTCTTGCCCCTCAAATCCATTTTAGGCCTTCCTGCCCTCATCTCTTTTTCAGGCTGTTCATGTACTTCCTGAGGGCTGGGTTATCTTGCTCATTATACTGTCTGTGCTGAATAGCAGGGATTACACAGGTTTTTGTTGTCTGTCAAGTGAGAACCCGCTGCAGTTCTGTGTGGCCAGCGTTACTGAAGGCCTCCTCTGTATAGGCATCTGTGTGAAACACACGTTGTGGCTTCTTAGCACATGTGTTCCTTTGGGTTTCACATTAGTATTTAATTTAGTTAAACAGTTCCTTTTGTGTTATTTTTCATCTCTTCATTCCCAAGTCATTGCTCGAAGCATGTCTAGAGGGTATTGCAACACTCTAGTCACAAGGATATAAGTTAGTTTACAGAGTTCAACACAGGACAAATGAATATGCACAACTTGCTCTGAATGCATAACTGGGAAACTTTTTTTATTTGTCTATCCAATGCTGTTTACTTCCTAGAAAGAACTATGACTGAATATTACCTTAAAAACATTGCATTATTTAATTATGCATTAATGTTACAAATCACTTATTTTTAAATCAAGTACCATTGTTTTACATCCTTGTTAATTTTCTGACACACCTCTGGTGTGGTCTCCTTAGCTCTCCTGCCACCAAACCACCCGTACTACATTAATTTTTAAATTATTTCAGTGGTGTTTAAGGGAGATTTGAAAAAGGCACTGTAACATGAAAGGAGAAGACATATTTCAAGACATTATGAACACACAGTAATGTTCTCCACAAAAGTCACTATCTAAAAAGGAGGTGATCAAGAGATTAAAGACAAAACATTTGCCTCAATAACATTTAAGATCAGAAAGAGCAATGAGAAAAGCTTGAACTGGGAAGATGCTGTAGTGAGAGATTATGAGAGAGTATATGAATAGGAGCTTCTCGATTCATATTTAACGTGTATTATTTAAAATGGAAAGTGTTTCATAAATTGAAAAATCTTACACATAGAAAGAGATTAGATTCTGGAAGGATTAAAAGATAAAAAAAATATCAGTCTCCTTGCTTTAATAAGATTGACTTCTCACAGAGAACTACTTTATATCTCATAGTGTTGAATGAGTATGCTGAACACTTTTAAAGTCTACTTTATATCTCATAGTGTTGA